AATCACTAATTTTATCCCACCAAATCTCACTAAAACAATGAAGATGAGTTTGCCTCCTTGCATTAGGTTCTAGAGTTCACCTGGTTTATTATCTATACTTTGTGCATATGTATAGTCACCAAGAAAATGTTTTGGTTTTTTTTGGTGGGGGGGGGAAGAGGTATTGTCTCCTGTCTATTACTGGTCCTTCCTACTCATATTCTAAGTCCTACACTGTACCTGAAGTATAAGCAGAATCACCTCCAAAACAATGAAAAGCACTAGGGGCAAAAACAATTTAAAAGATTTTGGTGCGAAGCCTTCAATAACCCTCCAAAAGAAGCCAGGAGATGCTGACGGGACAACTAAGTGGAAAATGAAACAAATGTTGTCAGTACTTTATAATCATTTATTTTTATAATGAATGATACTGGACATTTAAACCCCAGTACCCTGGGCCCTTCTGTGCTATACAAGGAAATACAGCATTTAATAAGACAAAGGTAGAAAGAGGGGGCAAACCAGTTAAGAAAATGTAAAGTAAATTTGTACAGGGGAACCAGAATCATAAAAGCATTCAGGGCCTGTTGCTAAGAATAAGAGGCTTCACGGAAGAGTTAGAAAAACCAGCCATGGTCTTTCATTCAGCACCTTTAAGAGAAAGATATATGGCTTACCTAGGCCCACAGAAGGGAAGATGGAAGGAGAGGTGGGGTCAACAAATAAAAGGTACTTGAGCAATTCTCTGAACTAGGGTAAATCAACCCCCCAAAGCAGCTCAATGACATCCTTCCATCCTTGGGGCCAAGACTGAAAAGTCCAAACGAGGGCAACACAATGACTTCCCCACTTTAGAGCCAAATCTGATACCTCTGAAGTGGGACTGGGAAGGGCAAGATTGGGAAAAAACCAAGAGTTCATCAGGTAACCTTGGGCACAATGGACTTCAGGGAAAGAAGTTTGGTATGATCTCAAATTCCTTGGGGTACCCTCACTCCATGCTTTAGGGTAGCTCAGGTATTTATGAGCATCAGAGGAATCCCACTGAGACACGTCAGATTGTTTTCCCCCAACTAAAGTGCTAAGCAGGGAGCTACCAATCAATGAGGAAACTGGAAGTTTCCAATCTAAGAGGTAAGCTCCTTAAAGGGAGGGGGACAAGCATTTTAAAGCACCTACTATGTGCCAGATACTGTACCAAGTTTTTTAAAATTATCTAATCTGATCTGTACAACAACCCTGAGGGACAGGTGCTATTATGATCTTCATTTTACAGCTGAGCAAGGTGACCCAGATAGTAAGCGTGAGAGATCAGGTGTGAATTTAGGTTTTCTTGATTGCAAGCCCAGTGCTCTGTCCACTGTGCCACCTAAGCTGCTTCTGCCAAGTAAGAAGTGTTTCATTTGTTCTTGCATCCCCAGAACCTCGAAGAGTGTCAGGCTCAACAAGTGCACTTAGTAAACACTTGTTGACTGACAGAACTATATGGAAGTTTCTAGATGGGGGGGGGGGGTTCAGAGAGCAAGAGGGAGTATGGTTAAGTTAGAAACACCTCAGTGGACTGACTGGGGAAGACCAGGCTTGAAAAATCATTTTTTTCAGGGTTGGATTTGGAATCAGAGCTACTAGGTTCAAATCCCAGCTCTACAACTAACTGCTTGTGTGATGCTGGTAAGTTAATTAACTTCTCTGGACATCAGTTTTCTCATCCATACAATGAGTGGGTTGGAACTAACGGCCTACAAAGTCCCTTTCAACTCTAATTCTATGATCCTAGTGATCATTTTATAAGATAACTCAGGTAGGGAAAGGCACCAAAAGAATGGAAAAAAAATCAATGACAACATTAATATCCAAAAAAAGCAATCTAGAAGACATTAACTACAACCCACATGCTCATTTTCTCATCTTTACACAAGTTTTTATGAAATGGTCTATATACATTTCAGGGTATCCTTGATGAAAGTATGAGAAGGGAACAGAAAGCCTTTTACAAAAAAATTTTCTATAGCAGGCCACATCTTTACAATCCCTTAATTGACTAAAAGTTGCAAAGAATACAAGACCCTATTATATTTATCAGTTACAAGAAACACTTGACTTGGAGGATCAAAATGCAGCTTTAAAGGCCTTCCTCCAATGAGATATCTCCTATCCATAGGATCATGTGAGATTACATAATAAAGGCAACTATAGAGGTAATTGTCCAATGCCCCTCTGTTAATCCCTGTCCGACAAGGCACAAATCAGGGAGAATATGCTGGCCAAAGGAACAGTGGAGGATATTCTGTAAAGGGACCAAATGGGAGGATTGCCCAGATATAAAGATGTTCTCCAGGTGTATCCATTTCAGAAACACAAAGTGCTGAATGTGGTAAGCCAAAGCCTCCTCAATATAATCCATGACTACTCAAAAAGTATCAGCATTATCAATCCATAAAGGAAAAACTAAAACAAAAAAACCATGCCTTTTGTCTAGAGTATGGCATTTAGGTAGAAGGCAAGGCCGTTAACTGAGGTATCATATTAGTACATATATTTGGGACAGGTACTTCATGTGGATAATGTATTGGAGTTCAGAAATGAATAGGATGAAGAGAACAGGTTGAACTGTATCTAGAAAACTGTGAAGTACTTTTAACAACATCAACCCACTCCCTGGTACACTCATCTTTTTAATACAAATGTTCTGGAGATCCCGTGATGCTTAAGAGTCTTGCAATGCCAGTCTTCAAAGATGTGGATGACCCAAAGTCTATAGAGAAATCTAAGTAGGCTAAACAGCATATATACGCATGAACACAGACTAAAGTAAGAAGCTCTTCCCTTTCATTACCACTGATCTAATATCATTTAATAAGGAAGGCTTAGCAGGAACAAATGTCATCTCTTCTTTAACCACACTATCACTTTGACTTGAAAGTTAACTTGAACCCAATAGCTGCCTTCAAGTATCTGAAAGGGCTCTCATGTAGAAGAGGCATAAGACTTGTTCTTTTTGCCACAAAGGGCAAAACTAGGAACTATGAATGTGTGAAAGCTGCAAAGAGATCAATTTAGGCTTGAAGTTAGGACTGTCAGTGTTGTCCAAAAGTAGAATGGTCTGCTTCCAAGATGTAATGGGTTCCCCTTCCTTAGGGGTCGTCAGGCAAAGGTCAGATGACCACCATCAGGTATGATAAAATGTCTTTTTTTTTGTGTGTGTGTTGGGTCTGGTCTACATGGTACCTGAGGTCCCTCAAACTGTCTGAGATTCCCTCAGGTTAAATCCAGCACCTTGCCCTGAATGTAGTAGCTAAAATAACTACAAAGAGAATTACTTAGACAGGGATTTCTCCATCCTACCCAAGAAAAGTGAGGGAAGATATTGTGAATGCTATGAATCAATACAGTATCAACTCAAAAAACTGTTCCTGAATCATTAGGGACACCTTTTGAGTCGGATGAATTAACATATAATAGAAACAACACAGGCACAGAAGCAGCAGTGTGATTATCAATTAACTTTCATTACCTTTGAACAATCTGCCTTATATATTGCATACTGACACAGAAATCTTGATAGAATTCTTACACCCTAACTCCAGAATTCCTCAATTTTAAATAGTTGGCCAAATTACTTCAGCTGGCAAATCACTTTACATGTTCCGAAGACCTCTCATATCTACGATCTCTTTATATCTTCCTAAAGACCAGAGGCAAATAGGGCAGATATTATTATGCCTGTATAACAGATGAAGAAACAGACCCATGGGAGTTAAGTGAATTATTCAAGATCATGCATCACGTCAGTGGCGGCCCAGAAATCCTGACACCCCGACTCCCAGTCCTAGGAGTTACCATACAGTGTAATAATGGATAGATCACTAAACTAAGTAAGATCAATTTTCTATATGACCCTAGCTTCAGTTTCCTTATTTGTAAAGTGGGAACAATACCTATCCTGCCTACCTCACAGGGTTTTGGATGGATCAAAAAGGTAGATGGCGGGGAAAGTGCTTTGAAAACGGAAAGGACTGCGTAAATACAAGGTCATGTCATTCATTCACTCATTCATTCATTCGCTAAAGTTGTAGAGGCCCTGGAACACAAGATAAAGTCACAGTTTTGGCCCTTAAGCACTTTATAATCAAGCAAAATTGATAAAACGTGTGCGAGGATCACGGCGACTGGAGAAGAAAAAAAGAAAACGCGCCAACGTGCCACGGGAGAGGTGCAAACCCGTTTGTGGCCGCCTGCTGGCCACGGCAGGGGGTTCTCCCCATTTTTCTCCATCCCCACACGCGTGTCCGGCCGCAGAAGGGTCTAAGGAGCTGGATGTGAATGAGAACGCAGACTAACGAGTAAGTCCGCGCCGGCCCCCGCCAGGCGGCAGCCGCGCCGGACGAGCCGGGCGGGGTGGGGAGGAGTGGGGTTGCCCCCGCGCACAGGGGGCCCCCGAGGAGCTGGACCGGGACCCCACGCGGGGACCGCAGCCGCTCCCCGGCCGCACACCCAACCCGCCCTCCTCGCCTGGCTCCCGGGCCGCCGACTCACCGCCTGCCTCGCCGCCCAGCAGCGCCTCTACCGGCCTCGCTCCGCACCCCGCTCTCCGCCCCGGGCCGCCCTTCCGGTGTGCATCCTTAAGCTCTTCCCCCACGGCCCGGAAAACCGCTGCCACCTGCGCTCGGGTTCCGCGGCGCCGCACGTGAGCCCTGGCCAAGGCTCGGGCCGGCCGCCCGCGCTGCGCGGGGTGATCGTGTCCGCGGGACCCTGCCCTGCTTTCCCCTGGCGGCCGGATCGAGAGCATCCTACCCCCTCCCGTCTGGCTGTCTCCTCCCTTCCCTTCCCTTTCCTTCCTTCTCTAACCTCAACTCCTTCCAGCTCTCCCCCTTTCTCTCCCTCTCCTCTCCCTTTCTCTCACCTCCTCCTCCTCCTACTTCTCCCCTTCTCTTCCTCTTCCCCCCTTCCTCTCTCTTTGTCTTCCTTCTCTCCTCCCTCCCTCTCTTTTTCCCTCTCTCTCTCTCCCCTTCTCTCTCCTCTCCCTTTCTCACCTCCTTCTCCCCTTCTCCCCTTATTTCTCTTCCCCTTCCCCCCTTCCTCTCTCTTTGTCTTCTTTCGCTCCTCACTCCATCTCTTTTTCCCTCTCTCTCTCCCCTTCTCTTTCCTCTCCCTTTCTCTCCCCTCCTTCTCCCCTTCTCCCCTTATTTCTCTTCCTCTTCCCCCCTTCCTCTCTCTTTGTCTTCTTTCGCTCCTCCATCTCTTTTTCCCTCTCCCTCCCCTTCCTCTTCCTCTTTCCTTCTCTTTCTCTCCCTTTCTCTCACCTCCTCTTCACCTCCTCCCCTCTCCCCCATCCTACCTCCCTCTCTTCCAGTCCATCCATCCACATGAATTTAAGTTTGGGGCAGGTCCTTCAAGCAGTGTTTCCATTTTCCCAAAGGCACAATGGACGTAGGATCTGTTGCTTTTCAGCTGGAAGAGATTTTGGTCCAACCCCCTCATTTGACAGATGAGGAAATTGAGGCACAGAGAGGTTAAGTGACTCTCTCAAGGTGACAGAGCTGGTGAGTGTCTGAGGTGGGATTTAAACCCATGTTTTCCTGACACAGTACAGTACGCCAGTTGCCTGCCTTTCAGTCATGTTGTAAAGCAGAATCAACCAATAAAAATAATTTGTTAAGTGTCTGCCATGTTCCAGGCACTCTGCAGTGCCTCAGGGAGGTTAATTTCTGTCAGGGAAAACAACACATGCACTTATACATAGATATGTGTGTGTATCTCATATACAAAATTTCAAGGTAATTTCAGGAGATAGGGAAAGCTGGAGAGATCAGCAAAGGCCTCAGGAAGAGATGCTATTGTAGCTGGGCTTCAAAGGAAGCTTGGTTGAGAAGCAAAGGTGAAGAGTCTGAAAAAACAGCAAGATCTGAGATGGAGTGTCTTTTGTAAGGATCAGCAGGAAGGCCAGTTTGGCCAGAAAATGAAGTGAATGAAGAATAACCTGTAAAGGGGGGATAAAACAGAAACCACAATCATTTCATAAGATCTGGATGGACTAATGTCCCAACCACCTTGTAGTTTAATATTTAGAAGTCCCCAATGACAATAATGCACTCTTGGTGTTGTGAACTGATTCAAGTATTCTAGCGAGCAATTTGGAATTATGCCCAAAGTGCTATAAAGCTGTGCATGCCCTTTGACCTAGCAATACCACTACCGAGTCTTTATCCCAAAGAGATTAGAAAAAAAGGGGAAAAGATCTATTTGTACAAGGATATTTATAGCAGCTTTTTGTGGTGGCAAAGAATTGGAAATTAAAGGGATGCCCATCAATTGGGAAATGGCTGAATAAATTGTAGTATATGATTGTGATGGAATACTATTGTGCTATAAGAAATAATGAGTAGGATGTTTTTAGAAAAACCTGGAAAGACTTACATGAATTGTTGCAGAATGAAATGAGCAGAACCAGGAGAATGCTGTACACAGTAACGACACTATTGTATGATGAACAATTGTGAATGGCTTAGCTATTCTCAGCAATGCAATGTTCTAAGACAATTCCAAAGGACTCATGATGAAAAATGCTATCCACCTCCAGAGAAAGAACTGATGGTGTCTGAATATAGACTGAAGTGTACAATTTTTCCCTTCCTTCCTTTTTTTCTTCCTCTGTCTCTCTCTACCTCTCTCTTCTTCTCTCTCCCCCTCCTTTCTTTAAGTGTTCTTCCACAAAATGACTAATATAGAAACATGTTTTACATGATTGAACATATATAACCTATATCTGATTGCTTACTGTCTTGGGCGGGGGGCAAGGAGAGAGGGAGGGATAGAATTTGCAACCCAAAACCTTAAAAAATGTTAAAAATTGTTTCTACATGTAATTGGGGGAAAAGTAAAATAGTATTTTAAAAAATAAAAATCCCACAATCATTATTGAAGGAGAAATCAATCACATTTATTTATCCCCTCCTAGGTGCCAGGCACTGGCTAAGTACTGAGGTTACAAAAAGAGCCCAAAAGGGGCAGCTAGTTGGCTCAGTGGATAGAGCATCGGCCCTGAAGTCAGGAGGACCGGGGTTCAAATCCAGCCTCAGACCAAACACTTGACACTAGCTGTGTGACCCTGGGCAAGTCACTTAACCCCAATTACCTTAAAAAAAAAAAAGGCCAAAGATAGTTGCTGCCCTCAAGGAGCATACAACCTAATGGAGGAGACAACATGCAAACAAATATATACAAAGTAAGCTACATACAGTAAAAATAGATAATAATTAAAAGAGGGAAGGTGCTAGAGTTGAGAGGTTCCTCTGTAACCAACTATATACAAGGACATGATAAAAATGGATGGTCTCATGCATAATTGTAACAATGTTGTAACTTGTCTGTCGCTTTGTCTTGTCTAAAATGCTTCCCTTAACCCTGCTGTTTTGTCTTCTTAATTGTAAAAGTATTTAGTTACTTCCCCTTGTGTCTTGCTCTTGAACAAGAAATAATCTTCTCATTCTGATAACAAATCCTGACAAATATTATCCCATAACCCTATTTTTTCCTTTTGGCTGATTACCCTTTTCCCTATCCTTCCCTCCCTTGCGAAAGATGTTATTTTTCCTAAATTACTGCAAAATACTACTGGTTGGCTGTGTACTCTAACTGGGGCTGAAAACTTATAAAAACTAACTGTAGTTAGTTCAGGAGACTGAAGCTGCTATCAGGAAGAATAGTCATCTGTAGCACGAGAATACATTTCCTTGCTTTCAGTTTGGCTTCCTATCTTTGACCTATAGTCACTGGACCCCTAACAATGGATTCAGCTTTACCAAGAGGCCCCATTCCTCTTGGCAGAAAGAATTTCTTGATAGTAATCACCTTGGTAATGTAAGCTGGAGCCAGGTTACTCCTATTAGCTCAAAAAAAAAAGCATTCATTAATTGTCTACTATGTGACAGGCACTGCAGAGCACTCTGGGTACAAATATTATGAATAAAACAATCCCTACTCATGAGTTTGCATTCTAATGGGAGGGCTAAGAACATGCGTGAGCATATACAGAACCAATATAACGAGAATAAATAAATTGTGAGGAGGAAAGGCAGTAGCACTCGAGGGCATCTGTAAAGGCTTCATATAGAAAGTGATACTTGAACTGTGTCTTGAAGGAAGAGAGTGGTTGTGTGGAGAGAAAGGAGTGCATTCTAGGCAAGAGGGAAAAGCACTGCAAAGACACGGGGTGAGGAGAAGGAAATCTCATTTGTGAGGGACAGACAGTCTTGGATGACAGTGTGTGTGTGTGTGTGTGTGTGTGCTAGCTCTGGCAATGCGTGCATCAACCTCATTATCAATATGTACGTCCCTAGAAAGTATGCTGGCAAGGTAAGTGTGTGTGTGTGTGTGTGTGTGTGTGTGTGTGTGTGTGTATGTATGTGTGCAGGACAGGGAGTAGATAATAAGCAATAAATCCAGAAGGTTGGAGCAAAGTGATAAAGTGTTTTAAAAGCTCCACGGAAGAGTTTATACATGTACAGTTATCCCTTCCACATCACGACTTTCCCCATCACAGTTTCTATGTAATGAAGGTTAGCATAAGAAATTAAATGGGAATTTTGGGGGAGTTTTGTAGAAGCTCCAGGCAACACTCGAAGGCCAGCAGATAACACAGAAAAATACTAAACCCAAATTTTACAGGAAGATATTATAAACACCCCGTAAAGGAAAAAGAAACAATTCAGACATCCTCTCTGGTACAAAAGAAGGGCCAAAAATTTTTACGTGGATTTTTCAGATCTGGGGGGAGGTGCTTTATCCTTTGATATGGAAGAGATAACTATATTTGATTCTAGAGGCAATAGGAAGCCACTGGAGTCTACTGAATCATTCCTGATGTGTAGGAAGATTTCTCGCTCTCTGATCATTTTTGCCTTAAATTGATATTAGTCGTTACTTGTAAATTAGGTCGTACAAAGACCCACCTTCAGTTTCCTCCTATGTAAAGTAGTGACCCTGATGGGGTAGTACCTGTCTCAAAAGATTGCTATGAGGCTAAAATGACCTAATGTATTTAAGCATTTTACAAACCTGAAAGTATGTGTAAATGTCAGTTTTCAGTGGAACTCTCATTTATAGGATTTCTACAAGCCAGTCTAAAACCCAGCTTTATTCTTCTCATATTTGTGGAGTTCCCTGATGTGCACCCATATAATGTCACCTGGTGAAATGAGAGATCATAAAGAGGGAGGCTGCAGGGTACATTAGAAAGATCACTAGCTCTGGAGTCTGAGGACGAGGGTTCAGATTCCGTTTCTGACACTCCCTGTGTCACTTCAGGCAATTTACTTTTCTTCCCTCTAGCCTGTTTCCACATCTGTAAAATGAGGGATTTGGACAGCATGGCCTCTGAAATCCCTTTCAGCTCTACATCTGTGATGCTAAAAAAGGACTTTTGTGGCAGTGAGCAATATGAGATCATTAAAAGATCTGTAGTTTCCCAAATGTCATCTTCCTGCTCCCACCAAATTCTGGGCCTGGCTTGTTGTCTATATGCCCCATTTGTCCAAGTTAAACATATTTTGTTGTTGCTCAGTCGTTTCCAACTCTTCATAACTGCATCTGGGGTTTTCTTGGCA